AACGCTGCGATTTCATCGAGCACCCTCTGCTTAATTTGTTTCCGCTAAGTGTGCCTTGTCTGACGTCTTGATCATTGTTTACAGTCTAATATCATCTACGTTTATCGTGAACGCCAGGTTTGGAATTGTCGCCAGCTCCCAGAGAAGCGGCGCCATCGCCATGTTAAACCACGTTGGTGACAGTACCGCTCCCTGTGGCACGCCGATATCGTTTCGCTTTGTGTGCTTTGGTTTTCTCTGGTTGTGAACAGGTAGCGTCTGTCCCGCAGGAACGCCTTCACAAAATTCAGGGGTCTTCCTCGCAATCCCAGTTTTTTTTGTTTTTGCCAAGTCCACGACGGTGGCGTGCAGCAGGTTGTCAAATGCCTTCCTGATATCTACGGCTACGAGGAGTTGTCGTTCCCGTTGAACATCTCTCGCCTGCGTTGCGTTCAGGTCCGTCCCGAGCAGCTACTGGCGCAAAAGAGCTAGGCTATCCTGCGTGCCCAGGTTCTTCCTAATGCCCGTCTGAGCCGGGTGAAAGATGCATTTCTTCTCGACAAAAGCGTGTATAGGTGCGAGCATCATGTGTTCAACGTGCTTGCATATTAGCGATGTCAGGGATATCGGCCTCACGTTGCCGGTGCCGTCGGGCGTTTTTCCTGGTTTGGGAGTCGGGCGTCCCTAGGACAGCTTCCATTGTTCTGGGATTTCGCCTTCGGCCGCCTTTTTTTAACGAGTTCTAGCAGCTTCCTTTTGTGGTCATGCGAGAGTTTCTTGAGCGTCGATTTGCCGACGACACTGCCTACAACTGTACCTTCACGGGCCTCAGAGCGAGATATGTCGTCGGACTCCATCGAAGCTGCGTGGATGTCCTGTCTTCAACCCCAGGAATCTGCAGCTACGTCCGATGGACTTCTGACGCAAGTTGCTCCTCCAGGTCGTGAGAACATGGCGAGACTCCCACCAGCGTTACCGGGCCTTCCAATGTCCTTGAAGGAATACAGTCACCTCTTTTCTCCCGAGCTGGGTCACGTGAAGGACAACACTCACAAGGTGAAGATTCGAAAATCAGTGCAGCCTGTGCAGCGTAAAATGCGTCGCACTCCATTGATGGCCCGGAAGCCTGTGACTGAAGAAATCAAACGCCTTGAGGCAGCGGGAGTAATTGAGCGCATATGTGCCTCAGAATGAGTGTCACCCATTGTTGTGGTCCAGAAGAAAGATGGATCAATTCGGATGTGTGTGGACCTTCGGGAAGCTAGTAAGGCTGTCGTTATTGACAGTTACCCTCTTCCTCATATTGAGGAGCTTCTGAATGCGCTGCACGGCGCGAGACGTTTCTCTAAATTGGACCTGGCGTCAGCTTACCATCAGGTCACACTTCACCCTGACAGCCGAGACTTAACCGCGTTTATAACGCACGAAGGCTTATTCCGTTTCAAGAGAGTTTGTTTTGGTCTCGCTTCTGCTCTAGCTATCTTCCAGCAGATGATGGCAACAATTCTAGAAGGATGCGAAGGGGTCTTGTTTTACCTGGACGACGTCATAGTCTTTGGTAGGACTAGAGAAGAACACCTGGAGCGATTGCGCCATGTCCTCAAGCGAATCGTTGATAGTGGACTCAAACTTAACAACAAGTGCGCTTTTCACGTTGCCGAACTTTCATTTTTAGGCCATCATGTCAGCGGCGAAGGAATCGCCCCACCTAAACAAAAGGTAGACGTCATCAACGCAGCTCCCATCCCAGCAGACATTTTGCAACTTCGATCATTCCTTGGGTGGTAGAATACTACAGCCGTTTTGTTCCTCGTCTAGCCGCAGAAGTAGAGCCTCTGCGCAAGTTCTTGAGAAGAGACATTCCATTCATTTGGGATACCGAAGCTGACACCAGTTTCAAGAAAATCAAAACAATGCTATCTTCAGCAAGGGTTCTGAAGATGTTTGACCCCAGTCTTCCCTTAATCGTATCCTCCCATGCGTCTGGATACGGGCTAGGTGCCGTGCTCCAGCAGCGCAATGGGAATGAAGTTCAGACCATCGCTTTCGCCTCTCGCACACTAACAGAAGCAGAGAGAAAGTATTCGGTGGGTGAAAGAGAAGCACTGGCATGCCTGTGGGCATGCGAGTGCTGGCACAACTACCTGTGGGGCCGCCGTTTCACCCTTCGGACCGACCATCAAGCCTTAATGACCCTGCTAGCAACACGGGGTACAGGCTATCGACCCCTTCGACTTACGAGATGGTCGACCCGTCTCCTCTGCTACAACTTTCAAGTCGAGTTTCAACGCGGAGCAGAAAATCAGGTCGCCGACGCGCTTTCTCGCCTCCCTCAGCCTGGGGATGAAGGCGGTACCGAATTTGGCGAGGAAATAATTTCCTTCATTGCATTGCAGAACGAATGCATCACCAAGCTGCAACTTCAAGAAGCTACAGCCAATGACTCGGTCTTGTGTGCTGCCATGACATACGTCACATCTGCGTGGCCCTCAAGACGTAACTTGTCCTCTGAACTCATTCCTTTCTATGACCTTAAAGATGACCTTGCCGTGGATGATGGCATTCTTTTGAGGGATGAGCGGTTCGTGATCCCTCAAGAGCTGCAAGGCATTCTCATCGCCAAGGCGCACGAGGGGCACACCCGGATCGTCAAAACCCGTACGAGGCTCCGAGAGCTCGACTGGAGGCCGAAAATGAACGCTCAAGTGGAGAACGTCATTCATGCTTGTGACATCTGCCAAGCGGCCGACAAAAGCGCAAATACCTTTTCTACTCCGCTTCAACCAGTGCCTTTCCCTGAGCGACCGTGGTCGAAGGTAGGAATCGACATCGTGGGCCCTTTTGAGCGTGCCGAACCATCATGCCGCTACGCCATAACTCAGGTTGATTATTTTTCGAAGTGGCCAGAAGTGCAGTTTTGTGCAGAAGTCACCATCTCAAGGGTAACATAATTTTTTCATCTGGTATTCTCCAGAGAAGGTTTACCAGAGAGCCTAGTGTCCGACAACGGTCCCCAATTCATTTCTCAACAATTCAAAGACTTCTTAAGTTCTCGTGGAGTCAAACATCATCTGATTTCGGTCTACTACCCGCAAGCCAACGGGCAAGTTGAGCGTTTTAGTAGAACACTCAAAGGTTTCATCCAGTGTGCATCGAGGGAGAAACGGCAGATAAAATCTGCTGTAGTTGATTACCTGGGCATATACAGATGCAGACCTCATACGACAACAGGGCTCTGCTACTTCATGGTCGAAAACCCCGAACGCGATTGAACATTCTAGGACTCTCATCGTCAGAGTTTCTTCGTAACCCCTTCGAGGAAGTGCAGCGACTTCGTCGACGTGTTCGACAACAACAAGACAAGACCAAAGCCTACATCGACAGAAGGCGAGGAGCTAGAACACCGAAGTTCAAGGTCGGACAGCAGGTCCGAGTGAAGAAGCCCGGATCTTTCCGAAAGGGTCCTCTGCCTTTAGCAGTCCCTTCCGGATTGTCGAGCGTGTGGGCCGCTGGACATTTTGAGAACATGATCCTTTTTTCTCGTGTTTTTTGTCATTCCCTTTCTCAACGTTTCAAGTTTTTCAGGCGTTTGGTTTATTAATATTTTTTTTAATTCGCATCCGTCTTGCCACGGCAGCAGGAACGGTGTTGTAATGACTGGACGAGTTGATTTCGTTTTTTTGTTGTTTTCTGTAATGTTATGTGAAACAGCGACGACGAATTGAAGCCGCTTGAATACTGTCCTTCAATGTGCTTTTTGAGTGGAACGTGCTGTGCATCAAGTGTGTAGCCGTGGATTTTGAGTTTCGCATATAAGTACCCCCAAAGGTTGGTCAGGGCGAGATGCCGGAGACGAATCTCGAGTTTTTCTCACTAACTCAGTTTTAGCGATTGATGGGGCATTTACTGCGACTGTATGAGTCCGGTGCTGAAAGCGCGTCTTCGTATGCAGACTTTCGAAGTTGTTTAATTAAAAAAACGTTTGGATTTAAAGATTTCATGTTTAGATGAATAATTATATTTGGGCGAGAGAAGATTACGTCAATTTGACTTCTCAAATGTCAACACACCCTTGTCGACAAGATAGTTGGGATAATGGAATTAGAATAATCGCTAACTCTTATTCACAAAGCGCGCGATTATCGGTGTACCAACTAATGTATGAAAGAACGTTGACATTAAATAAATACGCCAGTTTCACCCGAATTTGTTCAAGGTTTGCAGCAGTGCTGGCTGTGAAGTCGCGCCGATCTCCAATACGAGCGAAATATTTGTTGTCTTTCCGTCGATCATTCCGTTTGCCTTTTGGGGACTTAAACATACTGATGCACCCTTTCGTAGCAACACTGTTGGCTGGTTTTGCTCGGGCACGAGTCTTGGTTAGTCCCGGTCGAATGCAGTTAGCTACCAGATTTTGTGCAGAGAACCTAGCTCAAACCGGATGGTTACCGAAGGCCATTTTTTTAGAGTCTAGAGTTTCCAACAAATACGATTGCTCCGAAATAAAAAGAAAAACATTGTCAACAGCACATCAGATGTTCAAACTTTCACCAAATCTGCCATTAGGCGGCACATTTTACCTGGTGAGATTTCACGATGTAGCTTCCTTTCTACCAAAAATAAAACAACAGAAACTTTCTCAGGGCCAACGGTAGACGCTTACATGCACGACCGAGCTAGCGATGCCAATACTCGTGGCGCCATGCCCATATAGCCATCGGACGGCATATTACGTCGTCTCCTAGCGCTGTGCCTATAAGGTTGCAGAAGTTGGAATCATCGTTAACTCGGTCGTCTGCGTTGAGCAGGACAAGCTTTGTTGCTCCAACGCTTTTCTTGGACGGGGGATACGCCCTAAAATGTTACCAAATAAGTGCCCCACCTAATTGCACATTCGGTGAATGTTTTGAATTTTCTATGTGCAGAGACCAGTTTTCCCAGCTCGTTTTGAACAGCTAGAATTTATTGTGGCCACAGTATTAATCTAGAAATGTTCCGGGAAGCCAAAATCCTTCTAAAGCCTACCTGTGTGGTATAGCCAGTCCGTATTGCGTTGAACCAGAGTAGTTAGCGGCGTAGTTCAGAAATGATCTAAATTTGCCTTGGCTGGTGTCGAGCAACGAGCCCCCTCCGTGCAGGTAGAAGGTTTCATAAAATATAATATCGCAGACGCCATCTTGGGGTCTTGGAATGATTTGCGTGTCGATTGTACATAGGATTGGTTTCTTAGCAATTGGTGTCCCTGCAAAAGAAAATGCAGTAATGAAGGCAAAAATGTATTGGGGTCGTGCGGCACCTCAAGAGGGTGCGCCGCTCCACTTGGGCAGGTGGTCGAAGGCGTCACTAAAGGCTCTGTTTACTCCGACGTCGAATGTAGAAAACGCGGTGTAGCGCAGCGCACAAATATACTGATTGGTAGGAACTATCGAGTTTCCCGTCGCCGGACGATGAAAGGCTCACGGTATGCGCTGCGTTCGCTGCGCTCAACGTAGGAATACAACCAAGCTTTAAAGAGCCACTGACACCCCAGAGGTCATATTTTTTTATTGCCTAAACGATGCAAGTTCTAGTCATAGACACGCAAAAAAAAAAAAAACGCATCGCGAAAAAAGATTTTTTCCCGCGCGCGCGCGCCTTTTTATTTTTGGCGTTTTTTTCCCCCGCCGCTCAGCTCCTTGCTTCGTTTGATCGCTGACGTCAAAAATCAGAAAATTTAGAAGTTTTGTACGCGAAATTTCTATAACATTTAATAGCGGCAATCGTAAAACCAGTTTTTTTTTTTTTTTTTTAACGCAATTGCGAACACACTACGGCTCCTCTTTTTGAAATACCCAAAACTCCGAGTTCGGTGTGATGTCGCTTCCTGGATTTCTATCCGCCGACGGAAAACTTGGCGGCGCTCGAGCAGAGGATGACCGGCGAGTCGGGGAAGAGACCGTTTTTTTCCCGCGCCCGGCGCCCTTCTATCCCGTCTGCTCACCTCCTCCTCGCTTCGGGTCGCGGTGGCAACGGCGCTTTGCTTCGTAGCGTGCGGCGGAGGTCCGAAAGAAATTCGACTCGCAGGAGACCGCAAAGTTTGACTCACTGCACTGGCGCGGATCGCGCGGCAACTTCAAATTCGGCTTTTGGAAATTTTTTTTTTTTTTTAATTCAAAAATACTGAATTTTCATTTTTCGAATATAAAGGGTAATGTCCCGGCATCGCTTTCAATCGTTTCGGATAATAAAAAAAAAATGCTTTTGATGTGTCAGTGCTTCTTTAACTACAGCGTGCGCTCCACGCCGCATAGCGAAGCGCTGCCCGCTCTGACCACTTCTAATGCAAACAGCAGCGCCATGGCCGCGTCTGCTTCATCCTTCCATTTTAGTTTTCTATCTCGCTCCGGACACAGGAGTAACGGTTTCATACCTTGGCATTCGAAGACCCGTCCGCGTCCGGCATTGCTCTACGTGTCTCTTCACGTCAATCAACTTGCAGGAGTTGATCGGAGCTCGGGTTTCATTGTGTCCTTCGCAGGTGTAAGCGCTATCCACGGCAACACGCCGCCATATTCCTCCTTCACTTGCGCTGATGCGCTGAAATTCGCATTTACGAAGCGCTTGTGTATTTAACGGTCCGCAGCTCACTTCGGGACAACATTCACCAGTGCCAGTAATTAATAAAATCTTCATGATAAATCTTTTTGAACCTCTTCTTATCATTGATACGACGGCCTGCGTGGGCCACGCGTGTGATTGGTCACGCTCTGTGACGTCATTGGGCAAGCCGCCTTTATGTTCTCGTTGGTTGCTAAATAAAGGAGTTCTGCATTTGGCCAACAACTGAGTCAGCCTACCGTGCGTTGTAACAGTGGCGACGACGGATACGAACCCCGCGCCGCGGCACTCTATTGTTTTCGGCGCTTCAACTCATGGGCACAAGCCCGCCCGCCGACACCCTTTCGCCATTCGCCGCAAACCATTGCCACAAGCTTCTGCTTTCCGAGCTTCGACGAAGCGCAAGATAAGTGGGACATTTATTTGACTCGCATCGAAGACTATTTCGAAGGCAATGGCATCACGACACAGGACAAGAAAAGAGCAGTGTTGGTCGCCGCACTCGCTACGAAAACAATGAGCGTGCTAGCGGGCAGCTGCGCTCCCCGCAAGGTGAATGAGCTGAGTTACGAAGAAGCAGTTTCTTTACTCCAACCAACACTACGCCACGAAACAAAACGAGATTGCCGCATGTTACAAGTTTTGTACAAGGAGCCAAGCGGACGGCGAGACTGTTCAGGAGTACATTGTTGAACTCCGCAAGCTCGCAAACGAGTGCAACTGTGGTACAAGCCTTCAGCGTATGCTTCGTGACCGCACTGTTTGTGGCAATCGAGACCGCACCGTTCAGCGAACGCTGCTAGCACAGGCCGAGTTGACGTTCGCGGAAGCTGAAGCCATTTCCGCAGCAGCGGAGGCCGCTGCAAGGGAAGTCAGCGCCATGACGCAGCCAGATAACAGCAATGCATCGGTATGTAATCTGAGTAACAGAACACGTTACGATAACTACACCCGAGGGAGTACCGGAAAGATAACGCAGTCCGGTGACTGTGCACGATGCGGAGGCCGGGGGCATCGAGCCGATGAGTGCAGAAACAAAATTGCGCAATGTAAGATCTGGTCCTTTCCTTGGACGTTCTTGTGGCAGAGCACCCCGATGGACAGGACCAGATCGTGAGCAAGGTTCTGCACAGACTCCAGGAGAACGGAGTCAAACTGAAGGCGGAGAAGTGTCATTTGCGACCACAGTCGACCGTATACTTGGGCCATCACATCGACAGGGACGGGTTGCATCCTCTGGAAAAGAACCTGGCTGCTATACGAGACTCACCTCAACCCACGAATGTAAGTGAGCTACGTTCCTTTTTGGGTCTGCTTACGTACTATCACCGGTTTTTGTTGCACATGTTCACTCTGTTGGCGCCGCTCTACCGATTACTTCAATTAGAACAACGCTGGAAGTGGGGTCCTCAACAAGAAAGCTCGTATCAGCAAGCTAAGGAAGCTCTGTTAAGCTCTCCAATGTTGTCATACTTTGACCCGGGTCAGGTTGTGAAACTGGAATGCGACGCGTCTCCATCAGGCATCGGAGCTGTTATATCGCACCGTGTTGGGACTGTAGACAAGCCCGTGGCGTTCCGTTCGCGCACGCTGTCGTCGGCCGAACGGAACTATTCGCAATTAGAAAAAGAAGCACTGTCGCTAGTGTTCGGCGTAACTAAGTTCCGCGACTACCTGTTGGGTCGAGAGTTCGTGTTAGTCAGAGACCACCAACCCCTAGTGGGACTCCTACGGGAAGGCAGACCAGTGCCGGCAATGGCGTCAGCACGAATACAAAGATGGGCACTCCTACTAGGCCAATATCAGTACCACATTGAATACAGGGCTGGAAAGCACAACGCGAATGCGGACGCTCCTAGCCGCTTACCCGTGCCAAGTTCCGACGCTCAACAGTCGGACTTCCTGCCACAATACACGCTGTCAATTGAGCACCTAGACAGTTTGCCCATCCCAGCGCACAGGTTACGAACGCTTACAGACGAAGATGAACAGCTGTCCATCGTCAAAACCTTTGTGAAAAAAGGGTGGCCTAAAGCGCTTTCGAAGTGTGATGCACAACTTCAACATTACTTTTCCAGAAGGATGGAACTCTCCACTGCAGAAGGTCTTCTCTACTGGGGCCACCGAGTGGTAGTGCCCTCAGCAGCCCGAGGCGCCATGCTCGCTATTCTACACGAGTGCCACCAAGGAGCTTCCACCATGAAAAGACTCGCTCGGACCCTGTTCTGGTGGCCGGGAGTGGATGGTGAGATCGACGACCTCGCGAGCTCTTGCGTTCCATGTGTGCAGGCTCAGCCAATGCCGTCGCGGAATGTGCCTGTTAGTTGGCCGGAAGCGGGCACAAGATGGTCCCGGTTACATATAGACCATGCAGGACCAGTCGATGGTCGCATGCTGTTGATAATTGTAGACTCGCACACAAAATGGATAGAGGCGATTCCGGTCCGGTCATCAACCACAGAGATAACGATCAGTAGACTCAGGGGATTGTTCGCTTGTTTTGGGTTACCGAGAACTATTGTGTCAGATGACGGCCCCCAGTTCACAAGCCAGCAGTTCGCGAAGTTCGTGGCTGACAACGGCATAACTCACATAAGAAGTGCACCGTATCATCCACAATCTAATGGCCTCGCGGAGCGCGCGGTGCGGACAGTAAAGGACGGTCTTGCAAACTTGCTGCGATCAACGACCTTGAAAAGAAACTGGAGCAAGTTTTGCTCGGCTACCGACGTGCTCCGCTACCATGTGGCAAGTCACCGTCGGAACTGTTGCTGGGCTACAGATTGCGGTCGCGGTTGGATATAAGCTTTCCAACTCCCTCTCCCCCTTCTTTACAGTCTGGCAGGCCTTGCCAGTTCCAGCAAGGGGACCCGGTGTGGGTACGCAACTTCGGCCAAGGGGAACGGTGGAGTCCGGGTGTCATCAAATGCACGAAGGGCTCTCGCCTGGCCACGGTGGAAACTCCAGAGGGCCCAGCTCAACACCACTTCGACCGAATACGTCGCCGGACGCCTAGGACTCCGAAGCTGAAAGAACGAACAGGGCTCGTCCAGAAGCCTGAAGACCAGTCCCCTTCGCAACCAGAGCAGCAGAGCCCGCAGAGACTCTGCCCAGGTAGGGCAAGTGACTGCACTTCCACTCCACCACCGGCCATGCCCGTCCGATCTTCAGAAGCTCCGCCGGAGCTGCGGAGGTCCTCCAGAGTCCGGAAGCCGGTGCAACGACTACAACTTTAAAGAAAGAGAGAAGTGATACGACGGCCTGCGTGGGCCACGCGTGTGATTGGTCACGCTCTGTGACGTCATTGGGCAAGCCGCCTTTATATTCCCGTTTGTTGCTAAATAAAGGAGTTCTGCATTTGGCCACCAACTGAGTCAGTCTACCATCTGTTGTAACAATCATATTGCTAACGCTCACGGGTGGATCGAGTAGACGTACTGGGATTAAGATGACCTTGACGGTTTTTGCCAGTGCATGAAGGCCATCTATGTTCTTAATACACAGCTTTCATGTAAAAGTGTTGACAGCAATAGTGGCATGAAACGTTTTGTAGAGGGCAATGCTCAGGTAAGTTGTCTTTGGTTAAGAAATAAGGTCAAGTGCTACAGAAACATTTTGAGCGACCCTTCAAAGTGCTATCATGCA